TAGTGTACGCTTAAATATGTGTAATTCGACACTAATAGATGATAATTTTGTGATCCTCCCATATCGAAGTCAAATCCAGTCCAACTAATAGTCCGGAGCGGTGATCATTGATGCAGAATCACATTTTTTTTGATTAAAGATACAGCATATATTATTTATGATGCATTTAGATATTATAAATTTACCGGAACTATTAGAGCGGATTCTATATTTCCTAGAAATAGATAAGACACTGTATCCCGCCCTATTTATATCCCGATTGTGGTACAGATGCGGTGCCACTATTCTATGGAGACGCATTGAGCTAAAGAAAGGTGAAAGAGACGATTGCACTCAATTGAAGAAATTTATGAAAATAGTACGTAAAAGACAAAAGCCAGTCTATAGCTCAAATCTAATTCATCTAGAAATTTCAAATTACCATCCACTTTCAGATAAAAAATTCAATGACATTGCGTACAAATTCCCAAATATAGTTCATTTAGATTTAAAATTTAGCACAGGATTTAGCGATAAAACACTAAATCAAATAGCAGAATCATACCCCAATCTGAAGTATCTTAATTTACAAAAGGATAAGTATATATCCTGTAATATGGGCATAATAACTAGTGAAGATCTATTTGCAATTGCCCGGTCATGTCATAAATTAGAATATCTAAATATTTCTCACCGCACAGATATTTCTGAACTATCAATTTGTAATATTATTCGTTCTTGCCCAAGGCTCCAGCAACTCGACCTTGGCTTTTGTAAAATTATCGATATAACTATCAAAGAAATTGCTGATTCGTGTCTTAATTTAAAGTATCTCAATTTGGAAGGGTGTAATAATATTAGCAAAGAAGCTGTAGATCAGCTCGTTTCACTTAATCCGAATATTCATATTGATAATTTTGTGGAAATTATAACGCCTCCTGATCTTATTGGGATGGTTAGAAATCATCTTACACAGAATAATGTTGCTAGTAGAGAGATTTTAGCTCAGAGACTTCAGAGACTTTTAGATCTAAGTATGCGTAATAATCAGAATTTGGCGCAGGCTTTAGATCCGATAATCCAGCACCCTATCAGACGATCACCAAAGGAATTATTTCGATAGAATACTAGCCGATCAAGCAGAATAGTGGTACTCTACTGATCTAACTAACCTGGATCAGTGATCAGCACGGAAGATTTTTTGTTGAGTTATACCCTGTGCGACAAAAAATATATATTAGATAACCTGTTCTAGACATGGGCATTGGTCCGTACCAGCTGAATTTTTTACGAAAACGTCATGTATCCTTTGTATTTATTTTTTCGTATTAATAATAAAAATTTTCGCTTACAGGCCGTAAGGGAAACCACGTGATTTTTTTATTTTGAATGCTTATTTACAGTGTATTAGTTTTATATAGATCATGTCATCCGAGCTTGAAGTATTGAAACAGTATATCACTGAACTTGAGGCTGAGAATGCAGAGCTTAGGAAAGAGAATATTGTGATCCCCGATCTTAGAAATAAGCTCTCAGTGTCTGATGCTGAAATAGCTGAACTTAAGCGCAGTAATATCGAGTTTCTAAGAGCGAATAAGGAATATAATGAGAGACGTGATGCTGAAATTGCCAAACTCAGGGCCGAGAATGTTGAGTTTAGAGATAGACTCACGAAAGTGGAACAGAATCAGTCACTAATTGATAATACTCCTATTGATAATACCCATACCTCTAACAATAACTCATCTAACTTCAATTCAGGTGCAGACCGTCATGAAAAATTATCACAGGAGAAAGAAATGGATATTTTCTTGGATGAAGAGGATAAGAAAATCGTTGGTGAAGATATTAAGCGACGCAATAAGGAGAAGAAACTCCAGCGTGAATCAGTTAACCAGGACATCATCTCCGATACTGCTTATGTATCAGAAACGGTTAACAATGATGAGGTGTCGGATGAGCCAGGGAGTCGAATCATTGATGGAAGTAATAGTTTTACTTCCTCATATTTATCTTGTGGAATAGTTGTAATTACAGATATCTCATACACAGCGCCTCTCGATCAAGATCATGATCAGAAAGATATTGTTCCCTCCGTAGTAGATTCAAACTTATCACGTGATATAAAAACCCTTAACAATGTTAAGAGATTTTCTGAAAATTTGAAATTATCACATGAGAAACCGGAGGAAGAAATTGCCAATATTCCTCCCAACATCTGCCCGGAGATAGATAGAAATGTAGAGACGGAAAGATCGAGGAAAGAAAATTCTTCTGATAGCTTACCAGGACACATCCTACCGACCAAGAATCGTGGAAATGTTCAGGCTTCCTCGAGTATAGTAACCGAATTCGTACAAGATTTGTTGGAAGAGCTACTCTCATCTGATGATCCACTCCAGACTATAAAGTTTTCTTCTCCCAAAACCATAGTTCCCAGATCAATAAGCATCAAAAAACTTGCCAATTCATTCTGCCAGGCGAATGTTGCAAGAAATAAAACGATCGTAGCAAAGCGATCAGAGATTACGTTATAGTGCTTATTCTCTGAAAGGTTTGAAGATAAAGTTGTGGAGCTTAGGTCTAATGATAAGAAGCTTACGGATCTGACTGCAAGAAAGCGGATCTATAATGAAATGAAGCCATACCTTACGAATGTTTCGATTGGATATTTACAAGTAATAACCTGTAAAGCGAGAAAAATCAATAAATTATTTGGGTATAAATATGACCCTGTAACTCAGAAAAAAATTAAAGGTATACCAGGATATATGGTTCAGCGGGTCACCTGTAGCGCTGACAAAATTTCAAGGCTTACTAATCCTCAAATCGATTATATTATAGAACAAGTCAAATCGAAGACAATCAATAGTCCCGTGAACGAAATCTCCGAGACTGTGGCTACTACTTTAGCTAATGACCCAGTTCTAGAGGGACCTCCTAACTCAGATGATAATTTTAGTGATACCTCAGATATTACAGATTATTTTAAGGAAGAAGAAGTGACAAATGAATCGACTGAAGTAAGTGTTATAACTATGTCCATACCTGAAAAAAATTCATCCTTATCAGCCGAAGAGGAGGATTATCTAAAAATGATCACAGGATCTATTGACAAAGAGACCACTTATTGGGGTACACCATACGAGGCTGGGATAGAGAAAGAGAATAAAACGTCGGCAAGTATAGTAACCCCAGTATCACGAGCTAAGACAGATATGTATTTTGATGAGGAGGAAGGAGAAACGAACGAAAGTGACAATGACTCTGATGCCAATGAATCTGACTCTGATGCTAATAAATCTGATTCTGATGTATATTTCAAATCCGATGACTCTGACTCCGATGATGAGTATGATTACGAACTTCATGAAAGGCTCACGCGTAAAGAAATGGCAGGAATAGCAGAGTTAGAGGAAAAAGCACCAACTAAGCCTAAAGGGTCCCAGAGGGACCAAGTAAATAATGCTGATATTGATTTTGATAAAATAATCATGAAAGTTCTCGAGGAGCATAAGACGTATTTTGATGATCCTGCATCTCAGTCAGTGACGGTGAACGCTTAGGAGAATTATCAAGCGAAATCACATATTCGCATAGACTGAATCATCGTATAGGTTATTTCTGCAGTGCTCCTATTTTTAGATCTAGACGTGCTATTTTTGTATTAATGGAGCTAAGATCTTATGAAATGCCATCGATCAATAAAAAATTATTCCGGTGGTTATTAATAAAAAATTTTATTAGCAAAATTCTTGCCGAAGAATAGTGATTATTTTTCTCGTATGGGAGGTGATTGGTGTGATTCTGCTGGAATCTACATACTAATTTGTTATTTCTCGAGAGTATATGCATATTAATACAGGGTAATTTAGAAAATCTAGATCGGCTAATTATTAGGCAATATGATTTCCAGCGAAGATCTAAAGACTTTCATGTTTTGTGACGATCGTAGCTCTTAACTGCGGAAGGGTCTTAATTATAAAAACTGGGTGTATTAGAGGAGAATGGTTTCTAGTAAGAAAAAAAATAATATCAAATAAAAAAGTTGCGCATACTTCAAACCTTCAATCAATTTTCAATCTAATAATAAATTAATAAAATGATTTCCCTTACAGACATCTCCCTATTTGCACTCTTCTGCACCGTAGTAATAATC